TCAGTGACACCAAAAGGCAATAGTCCTATCAGCATTCTGCAGTCCGACCTCTTTACTTTGTAATATCATACGTTTTACATATTCGCTATCCTGCAGCTCTTAGCTAGTTCTCAGCGTTTATTCACTTGATGAAGTAGTACGAGGTGTGTTAATTAAGTAATGAGACTGATTCCATAAAAACTACTCTGCCTACTACCCTTCAAAGTAGCCTCCTTGAGAAGCTATACAACGATTCCAGCGCGTTTTCCATGCATCGTAACATTTATGGAGCGCTTCGACCAGAATGTCCGCAAGTAACCTCGGCACCGCCGCCTGGATATCCTCAATCGACTCACCTTTGACCACCGATTTAGTTCTAGGGAAAAAAAAAATTTAAAGGTGACATATCGGGCGTATAAGGCGGTTATTGCAACATGACCATCCCTTTAGAAGCCAAATACTGGGACACACTGAAAGCGGTTACGAGCGATGTCTGAGCGCACTCGTTTTTGCAATCTTTCGAGTACTAGACGATAGTAGACTTGACATATGGTTTGCCCTGGTGGAAGAAATTCTTTGTGGACGATTCCACGGCTATCAAAAAAGGCAATATTCATCCTTTTCACCTTCGACTTGCTTAGGCGATCATTTTCTCGGGCGAGGCGCGTGGGGAGGCAACCATTGTGATCTTTGGCGTTTGGTTTCCGGTTATAATGGCACTTTCAGCATGCTTTTTTAAAATTCTAGCGTACGTTTCTGAAGCTGTTTCGCCGCTGTTTATCACGACGCGTTGTTCTTGATTCGTTTTTTCCATTTTTGTGACGAGCATCTCGAACACTCGTTTACTGTACATGACACGCAGGCGAATATATCAATGAAGAGGAGAAGGTTGCCACGAGAAGGAAAAGAGAATTTCAAGGTCGCAGGGTTACCACAATCGCGGTTTTGGGGTACTTGGAGACAGCCGTAGTCATATGACTAGGAATTTTCAACATTGCGTCTTCGAAAACAAGGAAGTATTTCATTTTTGGATCATACGTGTATATTCTTTGATATATGAATAACTCTGTTGGAAGGGGACTATGCGTTATAGTCGCTTAATTTGGATAATTTTCATCATGAACTTGTAAGATATCAAATTGAATTTTACGGTCTTAGATGCTTCGCTTTTAAATTTATGACTTAAAATCTCATAGGAAAATGGGTCATCTATGTGCTTGAGGACTCCTATCTGGCCAGTTCAGACAAAGTTTAAATGTACCAAGTTTGATTGCAATATTTCCAAATCTGAGAGATAAATTTGCATTAAAACATATGGTCAGACGGACAACCCTAAATCAACTCAACTTGTCATTTTGCTCATATCGGTATACATTTTGGGCTATCTCTTCTCCTTAGAGTACTTATATTCTTCGTACCAAAGGTAATACACCATTTCATCTACACGTAAGGCATAAGGAATAAAATAATTTCATCCAAAAAAAATTAACTTGGTGTTACCAATCTTACGCGTCCAAAATATGAAGGATTTAAATATAATAAAGAGATATCACTGCAAAAAGTTATGCAAAGGGTCACTGAAGAGAGGATTCCATTTTTATTCTCAATAGGGTACAAGCAAACAACTTTGAAAATAAAATACTTTTTTTATACTAATACCAAAGAATATAAAAAGCCAAACGATCAGTTAAGCGCATCAAAAGAGATACAAAGTGAGATTAATCGCATGCTCCATTGAGCGTCACCTTAGATACATTTCAGCCTCGTCACTCTTTTTACTGGGATATACAAATTCGGCGCACCCTTAAACAGATATTACGTAGACCCGAAAATGTAAGGAAATATTTGCTTCCAGTCACATTTATGCTGTGGTGTAAGAAACTTCCAAACATTTGCATTTTCTCGGTTTACTGCCTCGGCGACAGGAAGGTTGGTTACAAATAAATGATTGCAGACAGCCAAAAATACAAAAGCGAAGCTGAAATATCATACAGATATTCATACACACTTAGTATGTATGTAAATACATTTCACATCTGTGCACATAAAACGTTGTCGACGGCAACAGCAATAAAAGTGATAAGGATAATGTGGACGGCAGAAAAAATAATAATCAGATTGATGAGGTAGTAAGTATTGCGCTACCGCAATGTCGGTACTTAGAAGCGTGTAGGAGGCTTAATTTATGTGCTGTACTGTTGCTTGTGTCTACTTAAAAGTAAATGACACAAAAATACATTATTAACATAAGAAATTATTCCAAGTAGTCGAACGATGTGGGGGCGAAGTAACCGGATATGCGTAGGTGCAGCCTGCCACGTGGCTTTTACTTCGACCTTGTTTTGCGGTTTTCAAAGATGCAGCAGCGATGATATGTGCGACGAACGATACATGTATGTATGTATATATGGGCTTTTATGTTATTTCGTTTGTAAGAAACCTATGGCGATGAGATGCTTTAAGATACGCTGATTTACAACGAAAAAATAAGTAAATAAATAAAAATAAAATTGGACTGTAGGAGGATCTTGGCGGAATCCACAAATTGTAGGAGAATCTTTCCGGAATAACTTTTCAGCAGTTAAAAAGCGACAATTAGGATGGGTGCTCCAATTAAAGGTACTATTTCAATAGTCTTTTTTGAGTCGCCTCAAACTCTATGGTTATTTTTTTTTTTTTTTGTATTGCTTGGCTTTTCATCATGGAGAGACTTTCGCCTGAAAAACTTTAACAAATTGTTCAACTTTATTACACAAATTCACGTTCCACAAATAATGCGACTCTCGCACTTCGCTCAAGTTATGGTCAACATAATTGACCTACAGACCGTACAAACCCCAACACCAATACCCATCTTGAGGTTTATCGTTTTTTCTTGGATAATATTCGACCGAATAGTCCACGTCACACATACTCGTACATACGTTCTGCACGAAGTGAAAGAATGTAGCAGGAGTAGCTGGGAGTGTACACGAAGACCGTGCAGAGTGGATTCGGCGCCATTCGCTGCAACTCGGACTTACGTTTTTACGTGTGGATCTTAAATTGAAAGCGTACAAAATACGGCTTGTGCAAGAACGGAAGCCGATCGACTTTCATAAGTGACATCGCGTCACTCTATGGGCTCTTGAAAAGTTCTAATAAAATCCGACGTTTTTGAGCCAAATTTTATTCAGCGATGAGGTCCATTTATGACCCAATGGGTCCCATTCGGGACGAAGAGAAACCTGAAGCGATTCAAGATCTGCTATTACATTCCGAAAAAACAACGGTTTGGCATGTTTTGTGAAGTAATCGGCCCAAATGTCTTCAAAAATAATGTCGATGATAACGTGACCGTCAATGGCGACCGTAATCACGCCACGATAATCGACCATTTGATGCCTGAAATTGAAACTCGTGATCTCAACGACACTTAGTTTCAATGAAATGGCACCAATTCCCACCATTCGCATCAATCAATGTATTTACTGAGTGAACACTTCGGTGAGCAGATAATTTCCCATTTTGGATCGGTCAATTGGCAGCCAAATATCTCGCGTGTCATTCGTCAGTCACCAATGGAAATGCTCAAACGAGTCATCGAAAATTGGACTCTACGGATGGACTTTTTGAGACGTAGTCGCGCCAATATTTGACGGAGTTAATGTTCAAAAAATAAAAGCTAACAAATGTTCCTTGGAATGATAATAAAAATTCCACTTAAATTTAAATTTTTTGTATTTTTTCTTAAAAAAAAGTAGAGAAATGGATGACCTTTTATTAAACAGGTCTACCACCATATACTAATCTGTATGAAATTCTCTACATTGAGGTTAGTTATCTCAACTCGAAGAAAATTGGCCTAGCATTTAATCCACCCGAACTGAGTTAAACGAAAAATTCCTCTTAAAATCGCAGATTGTTTTGGGCTTCGCCAACTACCATGCGGTTTTGTTGAAGAGAGAGAGAGAGAGAAAGAGAGAGAGAAGGAGAGAGAGAGGTAGCAAAAGACCGACCTAGAAAAACTTTCTCTTTCAATTGAATTTAAGCATTTTGACGTCGATGCTGACGAAAGTAAATTTTCATACTAATCCAAGTTCTCAAAAGAAGATGAAGAAGAGTTTAGACTATCAAACATCGAACTTATGAAATCTGTATTCCATTAGTTAAGTAGATTTCCCTTATCAATGCTCGTCGGCACCAAAAGAAAGAATTCCCTTAAAGCATTTCTGCCATCAATATTGTGCCATAATTAAAAACAGCATCCCACGTAGACCTTTGAAAAGCTTTAAAATAAAATGATTAATAAAAATGTCATGGGTTGCGAGTACTCTGCTACAAATATATTATTACTATCGCATTCTACTGTTTCTTTTGGTGCTTTCTACGCTCGCTGCCAGGCGATTTGCGTAGGATATGAGTGATTGATGGTAACAGCTCAAAGTAAATTGCAGTCTCCTGAATTATTTCGTTCGACCAAATTTACGCCTACATAAATCACGTTAAAGGGCAATGAAACTCCCACAAAATCTCATAAGTTATTCATAGTAGAATTTTCCTCAGCCCCAGAGGTATGCACATATACACATATATACATATAACTATATATTATATACTGCATATGTATCTATGGGTAGAAAATTATCCATCCAATTTTAAACTCTATGGCAACTATGGCAGTGTTTATAAACTAAACCACAAATTTATGTACTTTGGTTATGTATGAATGCTTTAACGGTAAAATTGCCACTTTCGGTTTTACAACCAACCGCTTTTTGCATAAAAAATTTTACGCAAAATAACTAAGCCCAACGTAATACCTTAATATGCATATATATGTATGTATGTCTGTTTGTATATTTGTATTTATAATGCCGCTTTTTGTTGCTATTACCAGCTCCCATCAACATACTCACTCATACATATAAAAACAAATCAACGAGGGCCTGTTGCCATGCAAAGGTTTGGGTTTCTGAAGCATCTGTCAATAATGTGGCCGAAATTACGGCAGAATTTGTTGGGTTAACCTGTGTACTCACCTTTCACCGAGTACGTTTTGTAATCAGCAAACTGTTCTCCTTGACCTATGGTCGATGGTATGGTGGACAAGCACGTCAGTTCCATGCGCCCATTGTTATTATGCGCCTCTTCCAAATCTATATTAAGTTGGCTAAGTGAGAACATGCCTCTCTCCTTGGTCGCTGACGCAACTGCAGCAGCAGCTGCTGCCACACCCAAGCCGCCGCCGGGATGTGATATTGGGCGTCCATAGCCAGCGGCTAGTTGATGCATTGGTCCTGCATTCGGTGGTATGCCGAGCTCGTTGTTGAGATTCGGTGGTTGTGGGCCAAATCCGCCGCTATTTAGTGTGGCGCGTATTGTGCTGAGCGGGTTCTCGTTGATATGCCGGCGGTATTTCTGTTTTGACGAGTTTCTGCAAAAAGAAAAAAGGTGTAAACAAATAATATGAGTCCGTTATAAAATGCAATTTAGTGCAGTAGCTGCAAGGAGAATGCTTTAGGGTGCTAATATTGTTAGTATGTACTGGTCATAGATGTTACATATGCCCTTGATGAGTGGTATATACTTTAATGATATTATTTTATGAAGTGAATAATAGATTAATTTGAATTATCTATCTATCCTATCTGAATTATTAGTTGATTGGTACGTATGTATATGAAATCAAGATGCCCGGGTATCGAGCACTGTGAGCAGCTCGATACTCCCTCGTTGGCCAACTGCTAAAATTTGTTTCGTACTTCAATGAGTTTTACACTTTGCACAAATCAAACTAATAGTATAAGAGAATGTTCTGGGAAAAAAGTCAAATTTTTTATTCAAAATGCTCAAAAAAGGTCAAATTGCTTAAATATTCGAAAAAAAATTTTGAGCTCTAGTCAAGGTTTATAGAACACAAGGTTACGACAACCGTTGACGTCATCGAGCCAACTTCGTCATATATATAGTGGGCGAGACTTGATATATATATCATAAAAAGTAATTTTTTCCTTTGAAAAATATATATGGATTTTAGTTGAAATTCTTCAGAAAATATTATTAACACTCACACAAGTTTTTTGATTCTATTTTTCGAAATTTTTTTCAACAATAACCCACTGAACACTTTTTCACCGCTTTGAATTTTTAAATACTTAGGCCAATAGGCCCCATTGTAATACCGCTGAGGCTCTTGCCTTCACTTTCTTAGATGATCGAACCCTTTCGTGTGCCTTATAAAGGCAAAGAGATTTCCAATATTGGCTGAGGCTATCTTAGCGAGACAATCGAATTAATGTTTCCCAAGAAATTTGCATCGCCCTGATATCAAGGCTGGACAATGGCAGAGATAGTGCTCGATGGTCTCCTCCTTTTCTTCATCCCTGCAGCTGCGGCAGATATCCCATTATATTCCCGTGAATCTCCATTAAACAGTGTCCAGTTATTATGTCCGACTTTATGCTAATGGAGAACCAGTCCAGAAGGCTAAGATGTTTTGATTTTTGCGCGTCCAACTTGGGACATAGCTGTCTGGTCACGTTGCACGTGATGTCGTTCAACCATCTTGAATCATCTTCTCTGGTAAAATCCAGCTTAAGCATGTGCTTAGCCGTGGACAGAGGTGAACTAGCATCGTGTGTATGCCTTATCGTGGATAGAAAGGTTCCTTCCCTTGCTAGTTCGCCTGTCATGCAGTTTCTTAGAATGTCCCTGTGTCCAGGTACCCAGACAACGGCAATTTAAATTAGTAGAAAGTTTGTTAAGAAAGTTTCTACATTTTATGGCCAGTTCTGACGTGGTGCCAACACATAGGAGAGATTTTATTGCAGTTTCACTGTCGGAGTACTGCCTCCATAATTGCAAAGAGCTCCGCCTGGAAAACGTTACAGTGGTCTGGTAGTCTTGTGCTCATATTTAATGAAAACTTTCCACTTTCCCATCAAGTTTCAAGCCATCTGTGAAGATAGCTATGGCTCCCTGGTCGGGAGCCTTGGTGGTTTCCCACTCACACCTGTTGGGGGGAGGGGCATGCAGGAGATAGTGTAGTCTAGCTCCTTTGCCACTTGTGCTAGATATAATATTTTGGTGTTTCCTATACTGCAAATCTTCCAACGTTGAACAGCATTCAGTCTAATTTCATTCCAGCCCGCTTGTAGTTTCCCACATAGATCCAGAGGAAGAATGTTGAGAAGAGCAAACAGGGCTTTCGAGGAAGTCGATGGAAGTGCTCCTGTTACCAGGTAGCCGCCGATCGTTGAACTCTCTCTAGTTTGCTCCTGAAAGTAATTTTATCGAGTGCCTGCCACCAAACGATGATGCCGTAGAATAGGATTGATCTAACTACCGATGAATAAATCCAGTGCACGATACCCGGTCTTACACCCCAAATTTTTTTCCAATTACCGTTATGCAGGCGTAAAGTGCAGTTATAGATTTTTAGTTAAATGCAGGAAGAATATTGCTGAACGCCCTCTAAATGTCGCGGAATATTCCAAGCGCATGTTCTTTAAAGGCGAGTCCTTTTTCGATGCCTCCGACCAAATCGTGGAGGGCTGTGTCGACAGACTTACCCTCTGAGTACGCATGTTGCTCCTTCGAGAGGCTCCCTGGGGGTAGATTCAGGCGTATGTAGCTGTCAAGCAGTTTTTCCAAGAATTTTTAGAGGTAGGAGATAAGACTAATGAATCAAAATACCTTAGGACTGACGTGTTCGGGAATATATCCTTCACGTAGACAAGCCTCGTAAATTTTTGGATAGAAGTGGGGATAAGATGTCCTCAGCCCTCTGTATTTCAGCGGGAAAGTTAACATCTGGTGATGGAGATTTAAAGGGCTGGAATGACTTTATCACGCATTCCACCCTTTTGCGACATACGATGCTGCTAATATCAGAGATTCGCTCACATTCCATGCGTGGGATTTGGTCGTACACGATGGAAAATACCGGAAAATGAGTGCTCATGTGGATATCCACCATTTTTTTAAAAGACGTGGTCCACTCCCCAGCTTCTGGATATAGTTTGAGACTGCGGACAGCTCTATTGATAAAATATATTAAATGGGCGATATTACAGGCTTTCATAAATGTTTGAAATAATATAGAGTTTTGTTGAGAAGGTTCTTTTAAGAGATTTGTAAGAGTTGATTGTTGAAACACTTTGGTGTGAAAGTATTTTAGTCTGAGGCAGTTGTTAAGAAGGTGTTCAATGGATGACCATTACAAAATTGACAGGTTGGTGGTAACAGGTGTTCGTAGGTAAGTTTGTTTTGTCCCTGGCTTAGGTGAACAAAAATTTGGTTTTGTAGACGTGAGCAAGATGGTAAATAAAAGGCCTTTCTTCATAACAAAATCGAATCGTAATAATCAAGAAAATCAATTTATATGAGTGGCAGAGGGTTGGATTGAGTATGAAACGCCATTTCAAATGGTCTAGTAGAGAGGATTTAGTTTTACGATAATTTCTTTAACTCAAATTATTCTATATGGTAAACAAACTCAATATAATAGTATTTGAATTCATCTTTGGTTAGTATAAATTCGTTTCATTCAAAAATTGTTTCCCCTTACTTAAATTAAAACTTCTTGTTTTACTTTTTTCCAAATATTTTCTTTATTTTCAATTTTAAGTATTTACGTTTTTAATATCGCACGGTCGCTGGCACTTTGAAGCTCGTTAAGTCCTCAAACAGGGAAACAAATATTCAACCGCTTTTACCACCACAAACATTCGTCTGTTACGCAGCTCAACACCCATTTCCACACTTCCTCCTTATCACTGCCATCCGCTGAGCAACTGACTGTAATCAGTTATAATATCGCGAAGCACATAAATTTTTATTGCATTATTGCGCAGAGGAGTTGGCAGAGGCGGTAATTTCACCGTCATTCTGCATTCGTAATGACTCAACACCTCGACATTTTTGTGGGGCAACAATATTGCCTGACTGTGCACCCCAATGTCACACCAACTCCTAAGTGGCTGCCATGCGATGAGCTTCGCGTGCTTCCGGCATAATTACGAGCGCGAATTGAAAAGAAGCAAAGTACAACGTACTCACATTTATAGGAGTACTCATATCCTAAGGTGTAATGGTGAAATTATCGATGCAACAAATGTCACCCAGACCAACACAATGACACCGACATAGCCGCCACACCAAAGCGAGGGTTGGGGTAAAAAGTAAAAGCGACCACAATATTTTGAAGGTGCCATGTAGCCCAACTTCTGCACCGGGTTATGAGGCGTGGGTGGGAGATAAATGTTTCGTATGCAATTCATGCTCGCTTGCAAATGTGGCACATTCCAGCCATGCACTCCACACAATGTTATTAAATTTGCTCTAATACTTAACTTGCGTGAGAGCCCTGTAGAGAAAGCAAAGAGTTAGTCACTTGAGTATTCTGAGTTTTTCTTTTACGTTTTCTATAAAAGATGATGGGCTCGGCAAGACATTCAAGCGACAGTATCTGTTATAATTGACGACAGCGAGTATTGTCTGGCATTAACAGCTAAATGTCGCTTACGATACATTGCGAGTGCGGCGGTGTCACGAATTTAACATCACAATCGATAACTTTGGTAATCAGTTTCGCTGCTGAGAAGGTGTTAAGACCAAATTACACTCCGACCAAGTAAAACGTCAGGCAAACTAAGCCGAAATCCACACTAGTCTACCAGACTAATGCAGCTAGTTGCAAAGTGAACTCTTGTACTGCTGAAACCTACAGTAGCTGGACTGATTAACAGGCGCTTTGTAACCGCTGAAGTGGTTTTGCGTATTGATGTTTTTCCAACGAATTGAGGGAACTACGGTATATACAAAGCTGCCTCCGAACGGCTGGTGGTTTTTTTATGAGGAGCTTTCTTTCATATCAGAAATACACTCGGAGGGGTTGACATTCACTCCTGAGGAGCGACCGCAATTAGAAAATTTAGCTTGATTTTTTATTGGACTGACTGATTAGTTATGATGTATTCCGACAGTTAGGCGCACATCCGATCTCTACAATGCAACAACACCACATCAAAAGTAGCTGTAAAATTTGAAAACAGTCTGAACAATCTCTCGGCGAAATGCAATACTGCTGTGGTCTGGGAACCAGATGGAGCGCAATCTACGACGAACTAGCGAGAGAAGGAACCTTTCTATGCGCAATAAAATATGCACTCGAAGCAGGTCGACTGTGTACTTAAACTCCTCTTTGTCAAGGAAACAGACTCTATATGGTTGAATAAGATCCCTTGCTATAACCAAACCTCCATTAAGCACTTTGGTACGGCGCCTATTAGCCACAAAACGCTGCCCACGGCCACGAAATATAATAACTCTTATTTCACAGATGTAAAAACGTCACAGAACCGTGTTGCTCGATGATAAGATGAAATTCCTGGCTTTCGACTATAGTAGACGGTCTATTGTGTGGGGTCATCT